TTTTTTTTTTTTTTTTTTTGAGATGGAGTCTTGCTCTTGCTCTGTTGTGAGGCTGGAGTGCAGTGGTGTGATCTCAGCTTACTGCAACCTCCGCCTCCCAGGTTCAAGCGATTCTCCTGCTTCAGCCCCCTGAGTAGCTGGGACTACAGGTGTGCACCACCACACCCAGCTAATTTTTGTATTTTTAGTAGAGCCAGGGTTTCACCATGTTGGCCAGGATGGTCTTGATCTTTTGACCTCGTGATCCGCCCTCCTTGCCTCCCAAAGTGCGAGGATTACAGTTGTGAGCCACTGCGCCCAGCCATGAATTTGTTTATCATCCTTGTGCAGGAGCCATGCCTATCTTCTCTGTATTGTTCTAATTTTAGTATATGTGCTGTTGGAGCAAGCACCCGTGCTTTAACTTGAACATTTTTGTGGGTTTGTACTAAAAGAATGCACAATTGTAGCTGTTATTAATGATGTTCCTATTTTTAGCTAGCCTCCTCCGCCACCATCATAATACCATCATTCAACTTTCAGAGCCTTTTCTTTCTTTCTTTCTTTCTTTCTTCTTTTATTTTTTTTTGAGACAGGGCCTTGCCCTGTTTCCCAGGCTGGAGTGCATTGACATGATCATGACTCAGTGCAGCTTTGCCTACCCCAGGCTCAGTTGATCCTCTCACCTCAGCATCCCAAGTAGCTAAGACTACAGGGGTGTACCAGCATGCCCAGCTAATTTTTTTCTGCTTTTTGTAGAGGCAGAGGCTCACTATATTGTGCAGGCTGGTCTCAAACTCCTGGGCTCAAGCAATCCAACTGCTTTAGCCTTTCAAAGTGCTGGAATTACAGATGTTAGCCACCATACTTGGCCTACAACCTATTTTTCAGTCTGTATTTTGTCCTTGAGTGTTTTGCACTCATTAAAAGCAAATTTGGGGCTGGGCATGGTGGCTCAGGCCTGTAATTCCAGCACTTTGGGAGGCCAAGGCGGGTTGATCACCTGAGGTCTGGAGTTCAAGACCAGCCTGACCAACATGGTGAAACCCCATCTCTACTAACAGTATAAAATTAGTTGGGCATGGTGGCCTGTAATTTCAGCTACTTGGGAGGCTGAAGCAGGAGAATCGCTTGAACCCGGGAGGCAGAGGTTGTAGTGAGCCAAGATCACACCATTACTCTCCAGCCTGGGCA